CATGAACTGGACAGATTCTTGGGACAGCACTGGAAACAACAGCCTGGATTCCACTGGCTAAGCAGGTAACGGTTTACCTTCACAATTCTGGGAGCTACCAGTGACATGCTCTGTGCTTGGTGAAGGAACAGATGTTTAATAACTTTGCAGTAGCAAGGAGGAGGTTATATAACATGACTGAGCTATTTTTGAACTTTGAAAAATGCTGACTGCTCTTTTCAAAGTGTCTTCTGTAAAATCAGGAATATTAAACATGAAGAAAATATCCCCCTTTCCTGTACTTCTTTTTCCCCCTGAAACTCTATGTACAGAAACAGGTTGATGGTAAGGTCATCAACATACCATAGCTTGCAAGCAGCCCCTTGTACCACGCCCGTGAGCAATAAATCATTGTTACAATATCCTAACTGCACCAGCTCTTTGCATGAGATGATAAATAAAGTCCATGAGGACCACCAAGTGACACGTCTAGCTGGCCCCACGACTTTGTTCTCAACCAGTCAAAGCTGGATCTCAGATCCCCTCAGTAACTCATCATGAAAACATCAGGTATGACCTCATCTGAACTTCTTCTGAAGCTATTTGCAACCTCCCTACTACATAGGAGGAATAGTGAGAGCTATTTGTCTACCAGATGCTTTGCAAAGAAAGACCTTCATCCAGCTGAAAATGTAATTTTTAAGCTTGAAGTGAGGAACTCCTAACTTGAGAGTCCTAGGTATCTACTGAACAAGCAGATAGATCTAACTCAGGCTACAGATAGATTTGTTCTCTGCTTTCAGCAATCTAGACTGAAAAATTCCTTACTATAAAAAATCTAAGTGTCCATCAAAGAGGAATAATTAAATAAAAGATGGAACACTTATATAATAGAATATCATCAATAAAATGAATGCAATTGAATTATCTTCATAGAGGAATTTTGAAAATATAAGATAGAGGTAAAGGCAATTGTAATACATTAGACACCATTTGTGTACATTAGAAAGAACTATGTATTGGGAATATTATTGCACATGGATGTGTATTGAAAATACAAAAATATGTACATGGATTTGGATGTATACCAAATTAATCATTATGTTTTTCCCTTCTATGGCGAGAAGAGAAGAAAAGTGAGACAGGGAAACAAATATAATCAGAACGTCTACATTATCATTAATGTTTTATTTCTTTTAAAATGCTGAAACAAACATTAACTTTTGGCATGTTTAGCTTTGTTCTCTATGATGAATATTGGGTTGAGTATTTTCCCAGATTCTGTAGTTTTCTGTACTATTCTTTTTTTTCAATATTAAAAAAAGAATTCTTATTACCTAACTTTGTCTTTAGACAAATTTCCCCCATCTTGACCAGACTATATAATGTTTAAGGAGGGAAGTTATATCTTAATTCATCTATATATCCCAGGGGCTAGCACAGCATCTGTTGCTTGGAAGGAATGATAGACGAAGGATAGAAGAATATAGTGCTTTGGCTGGGTGTGGTGGCTCACGCCTGTAATCCCAGCAATTTGGGAGGCTGACACACATGGATCACCTGAGGTCATGAGTTCAAGACTGCCTGTCTAACATGGTGAATCACCGTGTCTACTAAAAAATAAAAAAAAAAATAGCCAGATGTGGTGGTGCACACCTGTAGTCCCAGCTACTTTGGAGGCTGGGGCGGGAGAATCTCTTGAATCCAGGAGGTGGAAGCTGCAGTGGGCTGAGATCATGCCATTGCACTCCAGTCTGGGCAACCCAGCGAGACTCCATCTCAAAAACAAACAAAAAAACAGAAAAACCAACCTGCCTTTTTGGCCTTTCTCTAACTCCCTGTCAAGGGCAGCCTGGCAGGGTTCCACTGTTCCCTAGGGTGGGCATCAGGGACCGTGGGAGAACGTGGCATGGAGAAACTGCTTGTGCATCATTCAAACTTATACACTGGGTGGACACCACCAGCCCTGTATGGATGGAGAGATGTTTCATTAAACACAAGCAGTGGATGGCAACTTAACACACTTGATGAATTGCTTCTCTGGGGCTGAAATAACATTTACAAAATTGCTGCATTTAAAGGCATAGCTTTGGGACATAGCACAAAAGCATTTCACAGCAGCAAAAAAAAATTTTTTTACAAAGAATAGAATCCCGGTGGTCACTGGAAAGAGATCTAAATGTCTTACCAATTATCCCTCTAGAATTCCTTTTCCTATGTGTATTATATTTCAATTGCCCTAAAATTGAGTTATGTTTCTATCAAAATTATAAATTTCTGAATATTCCAGCTTCAGGGCACATCTTATTGTGGAGAGCGAAAATTCATTAGCCTCGCTTGTGTCTTTGGGCTGGCAGCAATCTTGCCTCTGTAAGAGACTCCCATGTCTTATGTTAATTTATCTGAGTTCCTTCCTGATATCTGGACCATTATTTAAAATGCTGAAAGTGGCAATGTAGAAACAGGATTACTAAAGAGGGTAAAAGGACAGAGTACAGAGAAATGTCAAAGGAGCATGATTTCTTAATTCAAGAGTTCATTTTTCATATTTATGTTAATTGTAAAGAGGTATATTCTGTCTACTTCATCACACACACACACACACACACACACACAGAGAGAGAGAGAGAGAGAGAGAGAGATGATAGTCAAATCCCTCCAGCCCCAGTTCAGAGATACCCTCTGAAATGCAGCAGATTTAAAGTCCTAAAACCTTCCATAAATATTTCAGTGACATAGTACCCTGCTGGCAATAAACCAACATGGTTTGCTAATGGTAATTCCTTTTTTTAAATTTTTTTTTTTGAGATGGAATCTGTCACCCAGGCTGAAGTGCAGTGGTGTGATCTCAGCTCACTGTAACCTCTGCCTCTCCCTCTCAAGTTCAAATGATTCTCCTGCCTCAGCCTCCTGAGTAGCTGGGATCACAGGCATGCTCTACCATACCTGGCTAACTTTAGTAGTTTTAGTAGAGACAGGGTTTCACCATGTTGGCCAAGCTGGTCTTAAACTCCTGGCCTCCAGTGATCCACCCACCTCGGCCTCCCAAAGTGCTAGGATTACAGGCATGAGCCACCACCCCCAGCCTGCTGACTGTAATTTCTGATGACCAAAACCTTTACTGATCACTCTGGAAGTTATTTAATATTACTAGGTGGTAAATACTGTACTAAACAGTGTTTTTCATGCAGCACCTCAATGAACATGACAATCTCTAGAATGTTGGTTTTCAAAGCACAGCCCCTAGACCAAGAAAATCAGCATTACCCCAAAACTTGAAAGAAATAGCAAATTCATGGGGCCCACACCATATTTTCTATTACATTAGAAACTCTGAGACTGGGGCCGAGTAACTCATGCCTTAACAAGTCCTCCCAGACATTCTGACGCCTGCTGAGGCTTGAGAAATATTGCCTAAAATTTAGGTGGTATTATCATCACTTTGCAATAAACACCTGAGGCCGAGAAAAGTAGAATGATTGTGCAAGTCATATAGAAAGTGGACAAAACAAGTTTTGAATGCAGACAAGTCTAATTCCAGAGCTGAGGCCCTCTATCACAGTTCTACACTGCCCATTATCTGAGGAATGAAGCATGGATTAAATCAGGGAACATCAGGCAAAGCCATGCAAAATGGGTATAGGAGTGATCATTCTAAATCTCAACAGCTGAGCATAATGACAGGCCACAAGGAACAATGACACTTCTTAGAAATATAAAATTTAACTTAAATGTTCGCCAAGATGGGAGTAGTTAAATAAATTATAATACATTCATATAATGGAATATAATGCTGTTCTAAGAGTAATGTTTGCCAAGATTTCCAGTGACCTACAAAAATACTTAGAATATAAGAAGGGAAAAAATTCAGATGCAAAATCAAACAGAGACTAGGAACACTAGTGTGGGAAGTTTCCCCAAAGCATAGCATGCTGGTGAGGATGTGGAAAATTGGGTAGTTTCACAAACTGTTGGTGTGAATATAAATTGATGTAGTTGCTTTGCAGGACAATTTGGCAATAGATGCTTCAATTTAAAATGCACATGAATTAGGACCCAAAAATCCTATATCTTAAAATCACCCCTAGAAAAAAACAAAGACATGTATAAAGATTATCATTGCAGTTTAGCTTCTAATAGGAAAATAACCTGACAAAAACCCTAAATTAAATGTTTATATCACAAAGAAATGATGAATTCTTGAGGTGATGAAAGCCCCATTTACCCTAATGTGATTATCACACATTGTATGCCTGTACCAAAATACTTCACTTATTCTATAAATAAACACATTTTTGTATTGGGGTTTGAGGTGGGAGGTGGAGATGATTAATAGATTTAAAAAAAATAGAAAGAATGAAAAGGACCTACTATATGATAGCACAATAGGGTCACTATAGTCAATAACAAATGACTTGCATATTTTAAAATAACTTAAAGAATATAATCAAATTGTTTGTAGCTCAAAGGACAAATGCTTGAGGGGATGGATACCCCATTCTCCATGATGTGCTTATTTCACATTACATGCCTGTGTCAAAGTATCTACCCCATAAACACATATACCTACTATGTACCCATAATTTTTCTAAAAATAAAAGAAAATTAACTCCTAAATTTCTGTCACTATGTAGATTGGATATTGAAGAATATGATGTGGGCATTGGAGTTAGACTTGTCTGGGTTCAAATCTTTCAGTTACAGAAAGTATAGATACACTTGAGATATAGTTATAGATAGATAGATAGATAGATAGATAGATCGATCCCAGGTGTAGGTTTCCAAGATATATTGTTGAGTACAAAAAAAAAGGTAAGTTGCAGTAAACAAAGTTTGATGTGACTTATCTTTCAAAGGAGATGAGACAAAGAGGGAGAGGAGAACAAAATAAAAATCCCATAAGTAAACATACAACATTCTGCATTTGCAGTGACTATTTCCGTCAATGAGTATGTAAGCAAGCAAACAATGACAACAACAAACTCTGATCCCACTTTGGGGGACAACAAGCCCTTTCTTACGGGTGCAAGGTGTGCATCGGGACCTCTGGCCTCTCCATCTGCCCGTAGCAGCTGGTCTTGGCCTCGGGGATGTAGGAGAACTTCTCTAGCATAGAAGATGCAGCGGTGGTGAGGATGCCAATGCCATCCCTCACTCTCGCCTCCAGGCTGTAGTCCCAGTCATCATAGGAGACAGAAATGAGTCCTGATGGAAACTCTTTGGGGATGAGCTCCGTGTTCCCGGAGACCAAGCTGGGGACAATCCAGAAGAAATCATACCCGGTGAGGCCAAGAGAGCGGGCCTCACTCAGAATGAGGACAGCCTCATCTTTGGAACAGTAGAGCAAGATGACAGAAGAGTGGATCTTTTTCAACTGGACTTGCGTCTTGGCATCCTCAAAGGAAGTGTCCAGTGTGATCACATTCTGCATGTCCCAGCCCACAAAGCTATTGTCCACTGTGGTCTTGACAAAGCTGATGAAGTCCCTGTAGCCAGGGAAAATGGTGGTCACCAAAGAGAAGACATGCCAGTCATAATCCTGCATGATCTTCAGCATGACTGTGGCTTGTTGCTGGATGGACGCTCCAAATTGGAAGAAGGTAGACGTCGGATCCTGACAGGGAAAAGAGAGCAAAACAGAGGGTGAGGCAGGAGGTGGTTTATATAGAAGCACAGCTGCATCCTAGAAGTTAGGAAAGTAAATCACACATCAACCATTTGCAGACATTCCTGAGCACCTACTGTATGCCAGACTCCTCCAGCACAGATCCTGCAACTACAGAGAGGAGAGAAGCTCTGGTATTCAGGAGCTCATAGCCAGGTCCTGGAAGGATATCTGTTATTATTGCTTGCTTATCATCTATTCTCATTTTCCTCTAGTTCATTCTGCCCCTTGCTCCTTTGAGACTGTATGGTTCCAATAGAACAAACTATCTGGTTCCCACCCCAGCTCATGATGGGAAAATCAAGCCAAGGAAACAAAACAGCATCAGCAAAGACAGTTTTCTAATGATATATTTGGAGCCTCTGGGGTCTGTCAAGTCTGAAGCCATTTCTCCTGGACTTCTCAGTTACAGGAGTCAGTAAGTTTCTATGTTCACCTAAGCAATTTGAGTAGGGTTTCTGTCACTTGAATGTAAGACTGGCATGTAATACGGAGTGTCATAAATACCATGTGAACATCTACCTTTTCAATCGACAAATATTTGTCAAACACTTATTAAGTGCCAACACCATTCTAGATGTTAGGGAAGTAATGATGTAGGACACAGACACAGACACAGTCTCTCCCTTCATAGATCTGATGAGAACTTGAGGAAAAGCAATTTCCATGAACTAAGGGCTAACGAGGCATATGACATATTGAAGGAGCATCCAGGTGAGGAAGAGGGGAAGTGAGTGGGTGTTAGAGGGGTCCTGAGGATGCACTGCAACTATTTCAGAAGCTGTAGATGAATGCATCATGGCGTCCAAAGGAGGGGCAACAACATGATACTGAAGAGCTTGGCAGAACCCCCAGCACATAGGGTCTGAGGACTAGGTCCAGAGGTTTAGACTCTATCTAGAGCATAAGGGAGAGTCACTGAATGCTGTCACCCTAGAAAGTAGCATGATAACTTAGGTTGGGTTAAAGGTCCTCTATTAACCCTAACATTTCCACCAATCTAGTATTATGAGAACAAATTTCCATTTAGAAAAGGCAGGTGATGCGTACAGTGGTACAGTATACAAACTGCCTTCAAACCCCCTAACTCATCAAATCCCTGCAGTGATCCTAAAAAGTTGGTATTGTTGGCAGGGAAAATGAGGCTCAAAATGGTCACACAGCAAGTAGGCATCTGAACCTTGGTGCCGTGACTCCGCGTCCTGCCCACCTTTCTGACACTCAACCACAGCCTTCCTGGGATCACTGAAGATCTGCATGGAACAGATGCTTAAATCACATTGTTGACTGGTGGGCATGGTATAAAAATGCTGAAGAAAAAAAAGGTATGCCTCTGTGTTACAGCAAAACAGAATTTGGCAAGTGCTGAAATATTTTTCTTTTCAGGGAACTGAAAGAATTCTCAACGGGTCTTCATCATATTATACCCATGTTTTTATTTTGCATTTTGTATTTACCATGTGTATTGAACACAACCTCAGCAGGATGACTTATGGGGATTCCACTGCAAGTGTGTGTGTGTGTGTGCGCGTGTGTGCGCATGTGTGTGTGCGAAAAGTGGATGTTCCATTCATGTTTTTTAGATAATACTTTGTAGCTGTGCATGTCAATTATTTCAACAAGCTTACATCACTTTCCCTGTGGGTGCTCACTAAAAGTTTTATCAGAATGGGCCAAAAGTTATAGTTCTTCAAAATTCTGCTCTTTTCTGAAATGCATGGGTTTGGGGGATAATTTGAGTGAAGCGTGGCCTGAAGGCAGAGAGAAGAAACAAGAATAAATGTCTTCTGGGTCCCTTCCAACATTACAGTTCTATGAATTTTACCTAATTAAATCAATTAAAGTGGATAACAGATTTAAAGACTTTGGATAATTATTTTTTCCCTACAGTAGCTTTTGCAGAAATCCAATATTCTTGAATTGATTAACCATTTTAAATCACAAGACTGTGAGTTCCTCAAGGGCAGAGATTTTTGTCATCCTCATCTTTATGTCCCCAGAACCTGGCAGAAGTCTTGGTAAACCCATAAATGGATCACAGAGGAATGAGTATGTGAATGAAGCCTAAGAGGAATGTCCTTGGTTTAGATCAGAAAGGAAAAGAAGGAGAATTTAGTATCTGAGATTTTATTTTGTGCAGATTCTGAATATCGTGTCCAAAACAAAACTTTCAACATCATCACCTACACCTACCTACCCTGAGGAACTACCCAACCATTCAATACCCAACCTATATCTCAATGTGTCCTTTATTGATAAAGAGGAGAATATAGAAAACCTGTAAACCTGAGCAGTTGTTCAAAGAACCTCATTAAATGGCAAAAAAAAAAAAAAAGGCAAAACATAAAGAAACCACCAATAGAAGTAGAGTCTATTCACTTCTATTCAATTATATTCACCAACCTCATACACTGTGAGATGCCTCTTGGGATGGGATGAAAATGCTCTAAATTTAATTACAAAAGAAATGTAATAACTCCCATGGAGAAATGATGCCTTGAAGAAAGCCGGTCACCAGAGCTACCTTCTGACTGCAAAAGGTGGTGGATCAGCAACTTGCACTGAGTACACAAGGAATACAGAAAGCTCTCAACAAGACTCACCCTAAAGGCACCACTGGATCCCGATAAAAAGGGTCTATGAGACACTTCCTTGGGAACACCGGTATTGGTGGAGAGGTGGAGGTCAGACATGCCAGATGGTAATGAAATGTGGGATCCTCCAACACCCTTGCTCCCTGTATTCTGAGCCAGACATCACCACTGTGACCATGAAAAGGTTTGTGCACAGAGCAGAGCTGTAAGCACATGCATCTTATCTGGTTCTTCACATGTAGAGGAGGGCATGGCTGCACTGTGAACTTCCTCAGGAGAAAGATAATTATAGGGACAGCAGTTAATCAGCCCAGAGCCAGCTCGGCACAGGCCATCTGTGAAAGATTTTGTACAAAAACCGTTGCTTTGTGCTGTCCCTGTCGTGCCAAACTTCAGCCCAAGATGCATCTCTCCCATTACCCTTTATGCTGATCCCCATTCGCAGTCTCTCCCCAGAATGGAGAATACTAGAACCTCTGGGGTTGGACTATCCAGTTCCAATCCTCATTATGTGGCCTTGGATTGGGGAAAAAAAACCACTCAACCTTTCTAAGTCTCAGTTTTCTCATCTATAAAATGGGTGCAGCTATGGTAATAATGATCATAGTTAACATGCTAGAAATACTTACTCTATGAGAATCAGGTTGCTCCTTACTTTCTAGGTACTATCTCATTTAATGCCGCCCCCAACCACCTTGCTAAATTGGCACTAGTAGTATGCCCATTTTACAAATGAAAAAAGACCCAGAAGCACAGTGACTTTTCCAGGTTCATACAAGTAGAAAATCAGGTTTGCCTGCCCTCAGAGTCTAGAGCTTTTTACCTCTGCACTCTGTTGTTGCCAATAATGGCACTTCCTCATTGAGTTGTAGACATTAAATGATCTCCCTGTATCAAAGCATCCAGAGTAGTGTCCATCTCGTATCAAGAACTAAGCAAATATTTCACATCAGGAGATTATGCTATTTTTTCAAAGAAGTAATCCACACTCTGGACTCAGAGCATCTCAACCACTCACCCTGTTCAGAGCTGCCCAGTTGAAACTCTTAAAGCATCACTTTACCATGCTACTGCCCTGCTCTATAGTCATCAATCGCTCCCCTCAGCCTACCATGTTAAGTTCAGACTCCCTAGCCTACCCCTTTATGTGCACCAGCTTTATAGTTGATATATCATGGGCTCTAGGGTCTACTGAACCTGAGTTTGAGTCCTGCCTCGGCAGGACTGTGGCTAACCTAGCCATGTGGCTTTGGGAAAGTGCTTAATCTTTCTGGGTCCGAGTTTCATGTTTAAGATAGGAATAATGACCCTTCCATCCCATGGGGCTGCTGTAAGAATGAGATATAATGGTAGAAGTAGAGACTCATTTGTCCACGCCTGTCTTTGATAGATTGGGTGCTTGCCTACACATCCTTGGTCCTACAGACCACACAGACATTGTTAGAAACCTAAGAGGGTCCTCATCCTATTTAGGGACTGGCCTCTCCAGGTCCACTGACATGCTAGTTTCAAATCCTCACCTCCCCATGCAAACCAGCTCATTCATTGTGACCCCAAGCAGCCTACATAATGCAAAGAAACTCCCTTTCTGTACAGCAATGAATCCATTCTTTGGAGAGAAGCCATCTCTAATGTCCTTTCTGGGCATCATGCAGTTACCCTGTACCACTCTCATTCCTATTGACATCTGAAACTTCAACTTCAAAAACCACCATGAACCAAAAGCATCATCCACCCCTTGAAGGGACAGAAACGAGGACCTATTTGCAAAATATAATTGCATAGCAAAGCAATGAAGAGGCTCACATTTAGCATTGGAATTTTCTAGGGTGATTTTATGGACTGGCAGGACATGATGGGCAATCTGGCCACACTCCCAAGGCCTGGCAGCCAATATGTCAAATGATCCAAAGCCCCTGAATGTCCTTTCCACTCCCTGCCTTGATGGTAGAGGCCACCTCTCCTGCACTTACCTCCGCCTGCCATGGCTTAGCCTGTACTTTTCGGATTCTACATACCAGCCTCTGACCACCTCTGGCACTTGGCTTCCTTAGAATGTGCAGCCGGGGGAGAGGAACAGATTTCATACACCCACTTTGGTTCTGAAGCAAAAGCACTTCTCTTCCCATGCTCACTGCTCTGTAGAAGACAGAACAAACTGTTTTAAACACAGAGCGAGGGAGGCAAGAGGGTGTAGGATTCTGGGTGTCTGCTCTAGACTCTGTGTTTCAGTCCCATCATAACAGAGGTCTCATTCAATCAGGTCTAGAGCATTAGATCCTGTTCTAGAATGTTCCAGAGCTTGCTGGCTCCTCAGGGTAACACCTGACTCCATCGGTACCAAGGCCTGGTGTT